TTATTTTATATATTATTTATTATTTTGAAACCTGGTGTACTTTGATTGACTGCATGTACCATGTGAAGTGAAAACAAGTGTTATTCTTTGACAGAATAATTTCATTTTGAGACAGATTTTCAGTGTTTTGGTAAAGTTAGTGTGTACAGAGAAAGATGTGTTCTATTTTGAAATGAAGAGTTAGTATATATTTAACAAAATGTGTTTTTGGGAAGAAAATGAACCATTTGGCCAATTGTGTTTTGTAGGTGTGAGTCTGTGTTAAGAGTTTAGAAAAAGTATCTGAAGTATGGGTAAGCGCTTGTTAGCGATTGAAAAAAACTGTAAGCCATCCATGGAAATAGACGGAAAATTTTTCATACTGCGTCCTATATCACACCTTTGAGTTTAAATGCAAATGTGAAATATTGGTTTTGGAACAGTAAGATAAAAAAAAAAAAAAGAAATACATTTTATTTGGCATGGATGCATTAAATTGATCAAAAGTGACAGAAAAGACAATGTTAAAAAAGATAAATATTTATAATAAATGCCGTTCTTCTGATCAATGAGTCCTGAAATTAAATTAAATCACAGTTTCCACAAAAGTATTAATCAGCACCAAATCAACATATTAGAATGATTTGATTTCTAAAGGATCACGTGAAAGACGAGTAAATACTGCTGAAAATTCAGTGGAATAAATTACATTTTAAAATATATTAAAATGGAAAACAGTTTTTTTATTGTAATAATATTTCACAGTATTACTGTTTTACTGTATTTTTGATCAAATAAATGCATCCTTGGTGAGCACTAGAGACCTTAAAAAAATCTTACCAAGCCCAAACTTTTGAACGGTATCCATGTAAGCAACAAAATTAAATTTGACACCTCTTTTTCATTCTTATTCTTCTTTACTTTAACATAAAACAATAGAACAGTGACCACAGATCAACAAGTACATTCCAACATTAATTATAGACACGTTATCATAAATAAATAAATAAATAAATAATGATTCATGAAATTCATGTTGGCCTGCCAAGGATTTGTAAAAAGTATACGTGAAATCCTAGTACCTATATACAAAATAAAAGGGGGTCCATGTCTGATAAAATATATCCATTTCACTTTTGACCAGTAGGTAATATATTGCAGTGAAAGAAAACCAAATATTACTTTATGCCACTCTGCCACTGTCGGCAGTTTATCAGAGATCCATTTAAGAAAAATGCTTTTTCAACACCTCTTAAGAACAAATTCTTCCTCATTTTGACTTGTTTTGGGACATGTTCTGCTGTGCATTTTTGCACCATCCATGTTTGATCAGTCTTACATCCGGACTGAGCATATATCTACCACGTTATAGCTAAATCGCCACCGGTCACATATTTCTACCATTGCATGGTATGGTATATGCCACTCAGTCCTATTACACTTCAAATAAATTGACATCATACAAATCCAAAAGCCCATGTTTAATGTGAAATGTAGGCTGAAAGACTATGTAACACAATCACCAATATATGCTTTGGACGGCAGTAAGAAAGCTGGCGTTGACTGCCAAAAGCACAGTGCTATAATTCACCTGGCACTGTTGCCAAGGCAACATCACAACAATAGCAGCTACCTCCAAAAATATAAAATCTCAGTTGTTAAATAAAGCAAGTGTGGGCCATTTCACGCACCTCTTAACCAACTTCAGCTGACACGAGGAGAGCCTGTGCCATTCACTTTCCTGCCAAAGTGAATCTATATCCGGGTTCTTACACCAATATTTGTTAAACCCTGCATTTTTTTTTTACTGTACTGTTTTAGTAATGTACTTAATACACTGAGCTGTAGATAAACACAAACACAGCTGAGTGTGTGAATAGTCAGTGTGCTCATGTGTACGTAGTTATTTCAGGTTATGGGTGGATATGCTGTCCCAGAGGGGACTGGTGAGTCAATGACAGGAGGACATATCCACAATCTATCCCTTAGTCAGAGGACTTAGTCACAGCCTACTGACTAGTACACACCCAGTCTACATCTACACACACTCAGAGACACACTACGGACTCAGCACCGGTACAGATTTTTTGATCAGTCAGGAAGGTTTGTGTACATACACTGACATATTGTGCCGAGGCTCTCATCTAGGTAATTTTCTTCTTATTTTCTTGAGAAAAACTTAATGTTTTTTTTAATCTTTTTTCTTAATGGTGCGTTCACACCGGACGCGAATAGCGCGTCAGGCGCGAGTGATTTCAATGTTAAGTCAATGCAAAGACGCGTTACGCGCGTAAAAAATTCCTGCGGCGCGAATGAGGCGTAGAGCGCGGCGCGGTAGACGCGAATACGCCTCATTCGCGCGTCAAGTTCGCGCGAATTGAGCGTCTGGCGCGTTAAGCGCGTTACGCGCGAATGATTTAGTTAGTGCTATTTGTGCATTCACGCGTTTGACGCGAATTCGCGTCTGCCGCCCGAGTTGAAAAATCTGAACTTCTGCGTCAATTCGCGCCGCGTTAACCAATCAGGAGCCTAGCTGCTTGCTGCTGTCACGTGGTGAAGTATCTGGATGCTTCAATAAATTATTTTGTAATATATGACTGTGGTTCTAATGCACAACAAAGCAAATATTTTATCACATAAAACTTGATTTCAATATATGAGACATATTCATTTTGTATTGAATGCTATTTATTCCATATCTAGATTATATGAAATATTATTATAATGTAAAGACAACCAACATATAAGTTAGTGTCTGGACAGTGATGTGTGAGAGAGAGAAAAAAATCACAGGACAGATTAATCACTTTTGGAGGCTGGCTTCGTTTATTATCAAAACAAAAATAAATGACAGATTAGGTGGATGCGGATGAGGGTGAACCTCGCGCCGGGCTGTAGAGCGCGGGCTCGACAGGCATAGACCACTCGAGGCCGAGGGCTTATACGGCCTACGCTGTCCTCGTCAGCATCCTCACCATTAGGTCCACCAAACCTAGCTCCTGGAGCAAATTGTGAAACTCTTGAAACCCTCCGGAGGTTCTGGTGGACCCGAGTACAGCGACGATGTCCCCTACGCAGCTGTTTCTGCTCTCCAGAGCATATACGAGCGGTGACTCTCTCGAATAATGCTAATGCTAATGCTCGATAAACATCTAAAAAGATGGCCGCCAACGGGTTTCGAAACTTTCGCCTCCGGATTTCGCCTCTGACGCGCGTAAATTTCGCTTCAAACTTTTGTTGTTACGCGCGTCAATTTCGCCATTGACACGCGAATTAACACAAAGTGGTCAAGCGTCAAACTAGACGCGGTAGACGCGAATTTGACGCGCTATTCGCGTCCGGTGTGAACGCACAGTAAGACAAAACTTAAGAGGAATTCAAATTCTTGAAAGGAATCTTTTTATAAATCATTGTAATCATTGACAGGATGACCTTTATTTAAATCTCCAAAGTTAAGAATAAGCAAAGAAAGTGTGCATGCTTATTAGGATTCTTATGATAATCTGCAGGCAGCACAAAAAGGCCGCCTTTGAGGTGATTTTTATTGAGTTGATCTGCGAGTCTTCGTCAAGAACCGCTCTACAATCAGATAACATCAAAGCCTGTAATTTTCTTCTTAAGAAAAAAAACTATGTTAAGAAATGATTTCAGAAATTCTTAAGAACTTTTGAATAATTGTTACAAAACTTCTTTTTTTAACTTCTTTCTTAAAAAGATTTTCTTGAATCTGGCCCCTCATCCAATTCTCCACATAATTTCATGTCCTATTAAAGGGGTCATATAATGCCATTTTTGTACAAGCTAGTATGATTCTTTAGGGTCTAAATTAAAAGATTGTAATATACTTTAATTAAAAATTCTCATTAGTATTGTAAGAAAACACTTATTTTACTTGGTCAAAAACAGCTCTGTTTTCAGCACGCCGTTTCAGTGCATATGACTTTAAATGATAATGAGCTTTGCTCACCCCGCCTCTCTGTTCTGTGCGTACACCGTTTATAATACAATAACCATAATGCGTTGTTCAGAATAAACGTGGGATTATGAATTATATTGAGAACATCATACATAGAAAACATGCCGTAATGTACCCTGAGTGTAAACCTTAGACGCATTCATTGTGAAGCGTGCAGCTAGCGATTTGCAAAGATTAATATAAATATTAATATAAAGTTTAATGAAACGTTACACTCACTTCAGTTGTTCTAGAGGTTCAGCAGGAACACGAATAGTTGGTACCGATCCTTTTTTCACGAGCAGCTTCTTAGCAAAACCGGCTTTATACTGACCCTCGTTTATAAAGCAGTCTGGTGTGAAATGATTCGCGCAAACATGAACGCATTGACGTTGCTCGTGGGGAATATTCCCTTCGAAAACAAACTCAGCCACTGCGTCTTCAGCGGTTCGGATTTAGGAACATTAAAATGACCGCTGTGTTCGTTATTACACCCAAGAACAGAACACCACAATCGCTTAGACGCCATTCTGCTCATAGACAGCTCCAGCATATCAACAATGACCGTGCTGGTCCGCGCAGACTATGATTGACAGCTCCCTCACGAGCGAGGGCGGGTCTGTGTTGAAACGCAGCAGTCAATCAACAATCGTGGGAAGGGCTTCCGACCGTGTGACGTCACAAAATCGAACGGCTCAATTTGAGGCAGGGGAAAACATATAAGGAGATTAAAACAAAAACACTGGATGGATTTTTATCATTATATGATGGTTGTGTACAGGCACTGCCAACACACATTTTAGTACAATCAACTTGTAAAAGTGCATGTATCATTATATGACCCCTTTAAACCTGCAATACAAACACATGATTTAACTGACAACCCCAAGTTCACCTAATTATTTTATAACAGAGTCGACTAGTCCCTTTCTCAGTCCCTCTAGCCAGTGTCATCAGTCCTAGTTTCCTCATCATTTCATTAGTTTCCATAACGTAACAGATATACCAAGCACAAACAAATTGTGAAGGGCTGCTGGCTAATGTAGTCCAATTGTTTCATGCTTACATATTATGCTTTTGCCAGGAGTGCTGGTGAGGTCTGGTTGGGACAGGCTGTTGTTGTTGTTGCCATTCTCCACATCTCCTGTCTTTTCCATGGGTGGAGTGTTTGAATTCTGTGCTGTCTGCTCACCGGTTTCATTCCCTTCTGAGGCCAAAAAACACAAACACAGAGGAGAGAGAATGAAAATAAAAGTTACACAGAGATTACACAAAGCATTGCTTTCAGATTCATTTTTAAAGTATCTTGATGCAACAACAGTACGATATGGATGCTCAGTTTGTGTTTATATTTGCATCAGCTATTTTGCTAGATCATCAGTTGGTGTGCTGTGCTCACGTATCTGTGAAAGCGCATTCATGTGGTCAGCAGCATGTGTTTGTGTGTGTGTGTGTGTGTGTGTGTATGTTTTATAAGTTAGCGCTGGAGCCAAGTGGTCTTATTATGTGGCCTGGTAATTATACAGGACTGTCTGAGAAGGCTAGAGCAGCATGACATCAAAGAGGGTCAGGACTGGGTCTTAGCGAGGAGAAGCGCTGTGTTTAGCTGTGTTGAGTACAACTGAGCTTTGCTCCTTCCTGGCCTCTGTCCCATACCTACCCAAATGGAAGCCAGCTGGGCTTTACTGGCTGTCTGATAAACACACAGCATCTCTTGTGGAACATCAGTCCATTGCTCTGTTTATTTCCTTTAGTGACTCTTTGCCTTTTATCTTGGCAGACTCCAGTTTCTACCTTTTTTGTGTGATTCTGTTGAGGGATTTTTATTCCTTTTTTCCTTATCTCGTAATTTTGTGGACAAGAGGATCGCTTTTTAGAGAAATGACCTTAGCAGGGATGAGTCTAGATGGCATATTAGTTGATTAGTCATTCAATGAATGATTATTAGGCAGTTTGCATGGTAAAACCCTCTCAGAAAAGTTACATCTTTTTTATCTCCATAGCAGGTACAGCATTCAAATGGACGTCTTAAGCCCAATTTATACTTCTGCGTCGAACTCACGCTGTAGCTACGTCGTAGGCTGTGTGTAGCGCGCGTACCCTTCTTCGGCGTACCCTGACGTGCACCTCTCCAAAAATGTAACAACGCGTCAATTCTACGTGGAAGCAAGCGCTGTGATTGGTTTGCTAGAACCGCGCCCTGAGTTTCACATGCTCCCTCTGCATGTGTAATTGCGCGTCATGCGGACAACGACGCAGAAGTATAAATGAAAACCAACGTGTAGTCTATAACGTAGAGGCTCCGGCGTAGGTCCGACGCAGAAGTATAAATCAGCCTTTAGGACAATGCATTGTAAACGCACCTTGAGAAACATCTATCCAGGATGAACCCAAATCCAACCAAATAAGACCAATTAGTTATTCAGACAATAGACTATTAGACCACAGACTAGTCGATTTTCAAAAAAAATATGTCGTTTTTGAACATAAAATAAAAGTTCCCTAGACCTTAGTGAGAAAGAGAGCCAGAATGAGAAAGAAATAAAAGAGTTTGAGTGACAGGAATATTGACCTATCAGCATCAGACAGATCTAGCTGCTGACAGCATCGTAACTAGATGGCCTTATTTATTTTCTCTACTAAACTCTTTCACCTCTGAGCACTAGCAGGCAAATAAGACGACTCATGAGGGGCTTACCCTCCACCCCCCATTTCCTTAACCAAAACTCCAACAACAGACAAATTGTCAGGGTCTGAGCACACAGAAACGTCAACATTCTCTCCTCCTCAACGACAAATAAAAGTGTTTGCAACACTTAATGCTAGCAGAAGAAATATCCCCTGATACTTTGCCTACTGAGGTCTGAAAGCATCCTGTGTTGCTGTGCAGACCCCAAGGCCTTATATCCTGTATGTGTTGTGTAGTAATAATGGAGCTGGAATTGGTAAGTTCACATCTGGAAGCAGCTGCTGACGGAGCAGAAAAAGTCACAATAACAGCAGCAAAAGTCTCAAAACTTAACCTCTAACCACAGCAGAGAATGTGTGAGCCTAAAAAGAACTTTGAGCATGAGATAAGTCATTACATTAGATGTGTTTTTCTCAGTCAATATATCAGTGGCGAGCGGTGACTTTAACCGGGTATGCTGGGTGCGCTTTATGTCAAAAATAAACCTGGTGCAGATACGTTGGATGGGTTTAGGCTAGGACACATAGCAACAAAGCTAAAGTTTTTTATATAATATATTAATATATTTGACCTTTGATTAAAACTAGCCTACATTTACCTGTTGATGCCTTCACAAGCACCGTAAAAGCAGTTGAGTTGTGTTTGATTTGAGTCAGGCGCGAAAGGGATAAAATATGCTGTATTTTTGTAATTCCGCTAGGTGGCACTAATGTCACAGAAATGACATGCTTCAGGGTAGGAAAAATGCCTTTATTTCTAAATTAGGAAAAATTGAGGTAAAAATCATACGAACATTATAATGGCACCCCAGGAAAAATTATAAAATAATAAAATAATCCAGTTCATGACCCCCTTAAGCGGTACGTCGCATCGGCTGAGGACACGCATCTAAATCAGAGACGACAAATAAGAAACACCATGGCAGGCGTCAATTTAAATGTATGCCAGAAGTGATTTTTTATTGATTTAAAAATAAGCATAAAGTAATCAATATTAGAAGCCTATTATAAGTAAAATATAATTAGAATAAATGTAAGTAGCTATAATAAAATATAAAAATAAAAATATAAGTAGGCTATTCTTTAAAAAAATATGTTGAAATAATGCAAACTGATGACTTTAGCAAACACAGAGTCATTGTCACGGTTGTTAGATCCACTGTCTCATTCTGGTCTTGTGTGTTTGTGTGTCTCGTGTGCGCTGATTGTTTCGTGTGGGCGTTACTGCTGATTTGCCATCATCAGCAACAGCTGTAGACTATTCAGTCACCTATTTAATGCTCTGTCTTTCGTCTTGTGTTTGTCAGATCGTTGTTGAAGCTTCCCACGTCTAGTTCCTGTGTTCTCGTTCTCCTCGTGTTTCCTGTTTCTGACGTTTGGATTGCTTCTCTGCCTCGCACCACTGGACTCTCACCTCAGCATTCTCACCACCTGCACCCATCTGCCCGTCTCAGTCCCTGCGTCACGCTCTCCTGCTGGCTGTGTTTGCTGACTGGACTTTCGCCTGGTTCCTGAGAGAGTTGTCTTCAGTCTGCTTGACTACTGTTCTGAGAGTTTATACTGTGAATAAACTTCACTTTGCACTTGCAATTGCTTCCGCCCTGTCTATCATCACATAATGATCTGACCAACTATGGAAGCAGCCAGTGCCACCTCGCTGACAGAGTTCATCAACCACAGTGTTTCCCGGATGGACCAGCAGCAGGAGAGCATCTCCAACACCGGACGCGCTGTCCAAGCGCTCGTGACGCAGGTGTCCGTGCTCATCCAGCAGATCCAACAGCTAAGCATTCCCGCTGCGCCACCCACACCAGCCGTTCCCCCCACCGTACCAGAGACGGGTCACCGACTGGAACCACGCCTACCTGTGCCAGAGAGTTATGCCAGTGAGTCAGATTTCTGTAGAGCGTTCCTTACCAGATGTTCTATGCACTTTGCACTGCAGCCCAGAACGTTTGAGACGGAGGAATCTAAGGTGGCTTTCGTTCTCACACTGCTCACTGGACGTGCATCATTATGGGGAACGGCGGTGTGGGAGAACCAGGACCAATGCTGCGCCTCGTTCCACACACTAGCCGCTGAAATGAGAAGAGTGTTCGACCGCGCGGTAGCTGGCAAGGAGGCGGCCAGAAGACTCGCAGACCTCAAACAGGGTGCTGTTGCGGACTACTCTATCGAATTCCGGACGCTAGCGGCTGAGTGTAAGTGGAACGAGGAGGCGCAGTGGGATATGTTCCTGCATGGGCTGTCCGACCGTGTTCAAAAGGAGATCTACATGCTGGACCTACCGCCTAGACTCAACGGACTGATTGACTTGGCTCTGCGGGTGGATGCCCGCATCAGTCGGTTGGAGCAACACACTCGCTCCTCTCGTCCTCCCGTAGCCTTTTGGGCTCGAGGCAGCAGTGAAGAGAACACGGTCGGACCCGCCGTCGACCAGGAGCCCATGCAGGTGGGTAGAGCTCGGCTTTCCCGAGAGGAGAGGGAAAGCCGGAGATCCCGTGGACTTTGCCTTTACTGTGGGGGTGCTGGGCATTTTCTACACGCGTGCCCGGTAAAAGAGCAAGCCCGGTAGTAAAGTTGAGGCTACTATCGGGTGGGATCTCCGCCGGGAAGTCCTCACCATCCACCCTCCGTCCGGTAAGACTGAGATGGGCCAACAACGATTACACCTGTCAGGCACTTCTCGACTCTGGAGCGGAGGGTAATTTTATTGATTCACATCTGGCATACAAGTTACACCTCCCCATTACACCCCTCTCCCACCAAATCTCCGTCAGTGCTTCGAATGGGCAAGCACTTCCAGACAATTCACTCACGACTGGTCCCATCACACTTCTCACCTCTGACAATCACTCCGAAACCATCTCATTCCTCCTTATGGTCTCCCCTGTGGCTCCTATTGTTTTGGGCTACCCCTGGCTGGTGGAGCATAATCCTCGGGTGGATTGGGGTGCTAACTCCGTTGCTATGTAGAGTGAACATTGTCACGAGTCCTGTCTTGTGTCTGCTTGTCCGTCTGTCTCTGTTTCTGTGTTTCAGGAGAAGGCAATGGATCTGTCAAACGTGCCCGCAGAGTATCTGGACCTGAAGGAAGTGTTCAGTAAGTCTCGTGCTGCTTCTCTCCCTCCGCATCGTCCCTATGACTGTGCTATAGAGTTACTGCCAGGTAAGTCTCCGTTAAAGGCAAGCTTTACTCTCTTTCCCTTCCCGAGAGGGAGGCCATGGAGAAATATATTTCTGACTCTCTAGCAGCTGGGTTCATCCAACCTTCTTCTCCTCCTGCGGGGGCGGGGTTCTTTTTTGTTGGAAAAAAGGATGGTTCTCTGCGACCTTGCATTGATTACCGAGAGCTGAACAACATCACGGTAAAGAATACTTATCCTTTGCCGTTGATGTCTTCAGCTTTTGAGAGATTGCAGGGAGCATCCATTTTCACAAAATTGGATTTACGTAACGCCTATCATTTGGTTCGCATCAGAAGGGGGGATGAATGGAAAACCGCATTTAACACCC